CACGGGGTATATGAGCAACTATCTAGGTGTGTGTTGATGTATAAGACACATGGGGCAGATAAGCAACTATCTAGGTGTGTGTTGATGTATAAAGACAACGGGGTAGATGAGCAACTATCTAGGTGTGTGTTGATGTATAAAGACAATGGGGTAGATGAGCAACAATCTCGCTGTGTGTTGATGTATAAAGACACATGGGGTAGATGAGCAACTATCTCGGTGTGTGTTGATGTTTAAAGACACATGGGGTAGATGAGCAGCTATCTAGGTGTGTGTTGATGTATAAAGACACACGGGGTAGATGAGCAACTAGCTAGGTGTGTGTTGATGTATAAGACACATGGGGTAGATGAGCAACTATCTAGGTGTGTGTTGATGTATAAAGACAACGGGGTAGATGAGCAACTATCTAGGTGTGTGTTGATGTATAAAGACAACGGGGTAGATGAGCAACTATCTAGGTGTGTGTTGATGTATAAAGACAATGGGGTAGATGAGCAACAATCTCGCTGTGTGTTGATGTATAAAGACACATGGGGTAGATGAGCAACTATCTAGGTGTGTGTTGATGTATAAAGACACATGGGGTAGATGAGCAACTATCTAGGTGTGTGTTGATGTATAAAGACAACGGGGTAGATGAGCAACAATCTCGGTGTGTGTTGATGTATAAAGACACATGGGGCAGATAAGCAACTATCTAGGTGTGTGTTGATGTATAAAGACACATGGGGTAGATGAGCAACTATCTAGGTGTGTGTTGATGTATAAAGACACATGGGGCAGATAAGCAACTATCTAGGTGTGTGTTGATGTATAAGACACATGGGGCAGATAAGCAACTATCTAGGTGTGTGTTGATGTATAAAGACAACGGGGTAGATGAGCAACTATCTAGGTGTGTGTTGATGTATAAAGACAACGGGGTAGATGAGCAACAATCTCGGTGTGTGTTGATGTATAAAGACAACGGGGTAGATGAGCAACAATCTCGGTGTGTGTTGATGTATAAAGACACACGGGGTAAATGAGCAGCTATCTAGGTGTGTGTTGATGTATAAAGACAACGGGGTAGATGAGCAACAATCTCGGTGTGTGTTGATGTATAAAGACACATGGTGTATATGAGCAACTGTCTAGGTGTTTGTTGATGTATAAAGACACATGGGGTATATGAGCAACTATCTAGGTGTGTGTTGATGTATAAAGACACATGGGGTATATGAGCAACTATCTAGGTGTGTGTTGATGTATAAAGACACACGGGGTATATGAGCAACTATCTATGTGTGTGTTGATGTATAAAGACACAAGGGGTAGTTGAGCAACTAACTAGGTGTGTGTTGATGTATAAAGACACATGGGGCAGATAAGCAACTATCTAGGTGTGTTGATGTATAAAGACACATGGGGTATATGAGCAACTATCTAGGTGTGTGTTCATGTATAAAGACACATGGGGTATATGAGCAACTATCTAGGTGTGTGTTGATGTATAAGACACATGGGGCAGATAAGCAACTATCTAGGTGTGTGTTGATGTATAAAGACAACGGGGTAGATGAGCAACTATCTAGGTGTGTGTTGATGTATAAAGACAATGGGGTAGATGAGCAACAATCTCGCTGTGTGTTGATGTATAAAGACACATGGGGTAGAGGAGCAACTATCTCGGTGTGTGTTGATGTTTAAAGACACATGGGGTAGATGAGCAGCTATCTAGGTGTGTGTTGATGTATAAAGACACACGGGGTAGATGAGCAACTAGCTAGGTGTGTGTTGATGTATAAGACACATGGGGTAGATGAGCAACTATCTAGGTGTGTGTTGATGTATAAAGACAACGGGGTAGATGAGCAACTATCTAGGTGTGTGTTGATGTATAAAGACAACGGGGTAGATGAGCAACTATCTAGGTGTGTGTTAATGTATAAAGACAATGGGGTAGATGAGCAACAATATCGCTGTGTGTTGATGTATAAAGACACATGGGGTAGATGAGCAACTATCTAGGTGTGTGTTGATGTATAAAGACACATGGGGTAGATGAGCAACTATCTAGGTGTGTGTTGATGTATAAAGACAACGGGGTAGATGAGCAACAATCTCGGTGTGTGTTGATGTATAAAGACACATGGGGTATATGAGCAACTATCTAGGTGTGTGTTGATGTTTAAAGACACACGGGGTAGATGTACAACTATCTCGGTGTGTGTTGATGTATAAAGACACATGGGGTAGATGAGCAGCTATCTAGGTGTGTGTTGATGTATAAAGACAAACGGGGTAGATGTGCAACTATCTAGGTGTGTGTTGATGTATAAGACACATGGGGTAGATGAGCAACTATCTAGGTTTGTGTTGATGTATAAAGACAACGGGGTAGTTGAGCAACTATCTAGGTGTGTGTTGATGTATAAAGACAACAGGGTAGATGAGCAACAATCTCGCTGTGTGTTGATGTATAAAGACACATGGGGTAGATAAGCAACTATCTAGGTGTGTGTTGATGTATAAAGACACATGGGGTAGATGAGCAACTATCTAGGTGTGTGTTGATGTATAAAGACACATGGGGTATATGAGCAACTATCTAGGTGTGTGTTGATGTATAAAGACACATGGGGTATATGAGCAACTATCTAGGTGTGTGTTGATGTATAAAGACACACGGGGTATATGAGCAACTATCTATGTGTGTGTTGATGTATAAAGACACAAGGGGTAGATGAGCAACTATCTAGGTGTGTTTTGATGTATAAAGACACATGGGGCAGATAAGCAACTATCTAGGTATGTGTTGATGTATAAAGACACATGGGGCAGATAAGCAACTATCTAGGTGTGTGTTGATGTATAAAGACAACGGGGTAGATGAGCAACTATCTAGGTGTGTGTTGATGTATAAAGACAACGGGGTAGATGAGCAACAATCTTGGTGTGTGTTGATGTATAAAGACACATGGGGTAGATGAGCAACTATCTAGGTGTGTGTTGATGTATAAAGACACACGGGGTAGATGAGCAACTATCTAGGTGTGTGTTGATGTATAAAGACAACGGGGTAGATGAGCAACAATCTCGGTGTGTGTTGATGTATAAAGACACATGGGGTAGATGAGCAACTATCTAGTTGTGTGTTGATGTATAAAGACACATGGGGTATATGAGCAACTATCTATGTGTGTGTTGATGTATAAAGACACAAGGGGTAGATGAGCAACAATCTCGGTGTGTGTTGATGTATAAAGACACATGGGGTAGATGAGCAACTATCTAGGTGTGTGTTGATGTATAAAGACACACGGGGTATATGAGCAACTATCTATGTGTGTGTTGATGTATAAAGACACAAGGGGTAGATGAGCAACTATCTAGGTGTGTGTTGATGTATAAAGACACATGGGGCAGATAAGCAACTATCTAGGTGTGTGTTGATGTATAAAGACACATGGGGTATATGAGCAACTATCTAGGTGTGTGTTGATGTATAAAGACACATGGGGTATATGAGCAACTATCTAGGTGTGTGTTGATGTATAAGACACATGGGGCAGATAAGCAACTATCTAGGTGTGTGTTGATGTATAAAGACAACGGGGTAGATGAGCAACTATCTAGGTGTGTGTTCATGTATAAAGACAACGGGGTAGATGAGCAACAATCTCGGTGTGTGTTGATGTATAAAGACACATGGGGTAGATGAGCAACAATCTCGGTGTGTGTTGATGTATAAAGACACACGGGGTAAATGAGCAGCTATCTAGGTGTGTGTTGATGTATAAAGACAACGGGGTAGATGAGCAACAATCTCTGTGTGTGTTGATGTATAAAGACACATGGTGTATATGAGCAACTGTCTAGGTGTTTGTTGATGTATAAAGACACATGGGGTAGATGAGCAACTATCTAGGTGTGTGTTGATGTATAAAGACACACGGGGCAGATGAACAACTATCTAGGTGTGTGTTGATGTATAAAGACACACGGGGTAGATGAGCAAGTATCTAGGTGTGTGTTGATGTTTAAAGACACACGGGGTAGATGTGCAACTATCTCGGTGTGTGTTGATGTATAAAGACACACGGGGTAGATGAGCAACTATCTAGGTGTGTGTTGATGTATAAGACACATGGGGTAGATGAGCAACTATTTAGGTGTGTGTTGATGTATAAAGACACATGGGGTATATGAGCAACTAACTAGGTGTGTGTTGATGTATAAAGACACACGGGGTAGATGAGCAACTATCTATGTTTGTGTTGATGTATAAAGACACAAGGGGTAGATGAGCAACTATATAGGTGTGTGTTGATGTATAAAGACACATGGGGCAGATAAGCAACTATCTAGGTGTGTGTTGATGTATAAAGACAACGGGGTAGATGAGCAACAATCTCGGTGTGTGTTGATGTATAAAGACACATGGGGTATATGAGCAACTATCTAGGTGTGTGTTGATGTATAAAGACACACGGGATAGATGAGCAACTATCTAGGTGTGTGTTGATGTATAAAGACAACGGGGTAGATGAGCAACAATCTAGGTGTGTGTTGATGTATAAAGACACATGGGGTATATGAGCAACTATCTAGGTGTGTGTTGATGTATAAAGACACATGGGGTAGATTAGCAGCTATCTAGGTGTGTGTTGATGTATAAAGACACACAGGGTAGATGTGCAACTATCTCGGTGTGTGTTGATGTATAAAGACACATGGGGTAGATTAGCAGCTATCTAGGTGTGTGTTGATGTATAAACACACACGGGGTAGATGAGCAACTATCTAGGTGTGTGTTGATGTATAAGACACATGGGGTAGATGAGCAAATATCTAGGTGTGTGTTGAAGTATAAAGACACACGGGGTAGATGAGCAACTATCTAGCTGTGTGTTGATGTATAAAGACACACGGGGTAGATGAGCAACTATCTAGGTGTGTGTTGTACGGGGGTATTTCCAGTATTGTGAACTAGGACTGATTTGGGAACAAATCGTTTTTTGGTTAAAAATTGGGATATTTTTAAGTTCTTAGTTTCTTCCAGAGTTTTGTAACGTTGTATTAAGATTGTAGAATCAGTGTAATAATATAAAACTAAGCATTAAAACTCTCCCTATTTATTGGTCCTGATATCAGTGAAATACAGGTTGCCCCTACAAAGCCATACAATTAGTTAGATTAACATGATTTGGGAAAGTTTATATTCCGATTTGGGAATGTTTACTGACTTTTGCTGCCAAATATCGGCTTCAGAGCAGATCCATACTTATAAATCTCTGTGTTACTGTGCATATGTCATTTATAGCGATTTACCAATCACTGAGCTACTTGACATGTATTCCCCTTCTACAAATGTGTTTAAATCGTATTCATGAGTGAACATTGTAATAGGCAAAAAATTGTTGAATGACAATAAGTTGTCTGAGGCCAGTTTTTATAATGTTTATCAGATGCTATACGTAGTTTTCTGACCACCATATTCTGTTTCAGCCTCAAGTTATCCGAGTCAGGATCTGAGCCGGAACGAGAGAATGCTATTTGTCCCATTGACGACACAAGATTGTGATCAGCCCGGTAGGTGGAAGAACCCAGTAGGTGGTAGACAGTGTCATTGTCCAACTTTGTAGGATATTTGGTCAGATCACCATGTCAGCTAGAAAGCTTAGATTCTACTCAGCAAATGTCCTATAAACAGTCTCTAAAGCTTGATGCATGTATTCTCTTATTATCCTATTAATTTCAAACAATGTCAACTACCATCATACATCTCAATCCAGCAAGCAGGTGTATAGACACACGGGTTAGATGAACAACAATCTATACTTGTGTTGTGTATTTATTTGAGTCATTAAATGTATTTGACAATCAGTGAACTACTTTCTATTTACACTTCTACTATTACAAACGCATTTTATATCTTGTTCTGTAGTAAACGTTTCACAAGCCATCAAACTGGTCGAATACGAATAAATTGTCTGTGACCAATATCAATTATGCCTATGTGCTATGTATAGTTTTTTAACAACATATCCTGTGTTTCAGCCTCGAGTGACCCGAGTCAGGATCCCAGCCAAAACGAGAGGGATCCACTGATCTCCACTGCTTCACACGGTAGGTGGGAGAACCCAGCAGGCAGAAAACTCAGCCCTAACCCTTCATACATACAATGTATTCAATGAACAAGCTGAAAAAAGCAATGTTATAATAGATAGCATATTATCTTAATAATTTCAAACAGCAATTGTACCAACAGTGTCTGTCTGTTATCTTATAAAGCAAACAAACGTTAACGATCCCTAGCTAACACTCCCCAACTACTGGATGCAGAAGAAAGATGTCACGTGAATAGAATATCCTAAGTTCAATAGATAAACCACTCTCCTCATCGTTATATTGTTGCCATCCATACAGGAAGTGGTTCATCATGTATCGATGTTCCTGTCACGTATCAACACTTCGAGGTGTGAACACAGTAGATGTATGACAAAGATGTCTGGATGTGTACAGAGTTTACTTTGTGTTACAGCGACTCCATCACAAGCAGCCCGCGACCTCTTCTACGCCAGCAAGGCCGGGGACCTGGAGGAGGTAAAGCGGCTCCTGACGACAGCGGGAGTCAGCGTCAACTGTAGAGTGGAAGGGAGCTGGACACCGGTGATGGTGGCAGCATACTGGGAACACAAAGAGGTGGTGGAGCTCCTGGTTAGTAGAGGAGCTGATGTGTCACTGGTGGACGAGGACGGTAACAACACCCTTCACTTCGCCTGTATGAGAGAAGATGTGAAGACGGTGAAGTTTGTGCTGTCTCAGAACGTGGTGGACATCGACGGTAGAGGATGTGGGAGCAGGACACCGGTGATGGAGGCAGCAAGGGCGGGACACAAAGAAGTGGTGGAGCTCCTGGTGAGTGAAGGAGCTGATGTGTCACTGGTGGACGTGGACGGTAACAACACCCTTCACTTCGCCTGTATGAGAAGAGATGTGGAGATGGTGATGTATGTGCTGTCACTGAACGTGGTGGACATCAACAGTAGAGGATTGAGGAGCATGACACCGGTGATGATGGAAGCACTGTATGGACACAGAGACGTGGATGAGCTCCTGGTGAGTATAGGAGCTGATGTGTCACTGGTGGACGAGGACGGTAACAACATCTTTCACTACGCTAGTCGGGGAGGAGATGTGGGGACGGTGAAGTATGTGCTGTTACTGAACGTGGTGGACATCGACGCCAGGAACAACTCGGGGGAGACAGCGGCGGACGTGGCGAGACTCTGGGGACATCAGCCAGTGTTGGATCTGCTGGTGTCCCGCGGCGCTCAGTGACGTCAGTGTCGTGTTTGTGTAGACGGTGGAGGGGGACATGTTGTTACAGACAGTGACGTGGTGTGCCGTGCACGTCGTCGTGTTATATATTCCCGGATTTGGTGAGAACGTTTGTTGTGTTTGAGGAGAAATAAAACTTGTTAATTTTTTTAAATATTTTGTCATCTGTTGTGTTTGGAACTTCGCATCATCAAGTAAGAAAATTGTTAACTGAGTGTATATAAAGATGATGTGTGATTATGATTTACACACTTTATCTCATGATATAATTAGCCTGTGTTAATTGTGTGTCAGGAGTTTATGATTAATCATGGAACACACAACAAACTGTTTGTTTACATCTCGCTGCACTCTGTGACCTCAGACTGAGCCGAGGTTCGCCCAGCTGACGTGGCGCCAAATGTACAATGACAGTGACGTCACACTGTCCATGACGTCACGGCATTGCGGCCAAGGCCTTGCACCAAAGTGACCGGCGCTTTTCTCTGCCAAAACAGGGCGGCACACACGACATGACCATACAACACATGCACTGTGTGGTAGATATAGTTTAACAAAGGCAGACATATACGGTACATCTTTTTTTCTTAGGAGGATCTTTTAATATGAACAAGTTGAATTGAGAAATTAAAAGCAGAGTCGGTTGTACGAATCGGACCATAGCATGAGCATGTGTTTATCTCTCATGGTGCGTTGCCGTCAGTCACGGTTTCAAAAACGTAACTTTGTATAAAAAGTGTTACAACGTTCTTATTTCTTCGCACAGTGTAACCGAATTGCAACTAGCGTTGAATATCTTCACCACAGTATCTAAATGCAGTAAATCCCAAAGATAAATGCACTGCCTAGCCATCGATGAAAGGTGCTACTCTTGTTACATGAACTGTAATATTAAAGCACCCGAATGTGGCAGGTTTATTCTAGCAAGCGCCCTTGTTTGAAATCTGGATCTGCAATACTTCATATCATTGTAAAGTAAATATACTAACGATGATAGACATATGACATTTGAGAATTGTCCATGAGTTTAATTTACCGATATAACATCTCGTTGAAATTGACTGCTTATTTACATTTCGGGTGTTATTATGCGTTGTTAATGGTTAAACCTAATTTTCTGGGATTTTAATACGTGAATTTGAAAGCACTAGAAGTGTGGAGTAGGTTATATTTAATACAAGGAAACGTTCGCAGATGAAAGAAAGAATATTGTATTTACAGTACAATTATAAGTAATATCTAGATTCAGTGAAAAGTAAAAAATAAAATTACGAAAATATGAATTACCTGGATTAACTAAATACATTTCCTTTCATAATATGTTTCTATAATTGCGACTTTAGAACTGTATTTACACCTTGATATATACACGTACATTAAAGTAAAGTTTGATATAGATAATGATCATAGATCAATGAAACTGATGGAATTATGCGCTATTCCCAATGTACTGACAGCAAAGCTTATTTCCCTATGTTTTTCATTGTTCCATTATTCGGTTCCATGAATATATAGTTTTTCCGTTTTCTTTTGGAGGGAACTTATATGGTTTAAACTTGTGAAGAAAAAAATCAATCTAAATAAACACAATAATGGATTCATCTTTCTCTCAGATAAGATTTCTTTTTACTAAGACATTTTTTTATTAAGGATACAAAATAAACAAGAAAACAGCGTTATTAATATCCCCCCTCCATGGGGCACAGTATTATGTTTGTTCGTATAGTAATGACCTATAAGGAAGTTGATATTAGCTACGTAAATAAAACCGCCCTATAAAGCCTTAAGAAGAGATAGGCACTAGGGTCGCTTTATGTCATCAGAAAAAAAAATGACTAAATGTGAAATTAATACACACAAAAGGCCCCTCCTCTGGGAAAAATAATTAAATAATTTTCGAACCCAGTCTTCACAAGACAAGATGTTTAATAGACATGCAAACGTTCATTTACGTAACTTCAGTAGTTTCTCAGAAAAAAGTGTCCCCATTTCACGCAATATGCACACTGTATGCAGAATGTTGTAAAGCACGGGCTGTAAGTCTGTAAAAAATAATTTAGGACGCCAATTTTCGAAAATCAGTGTGAAAAGTGAAAAAACGGGCGAAAGAACGAACTCCGTTCCTATATCCTCGGCCCCCATCGGTGGTTTGTTTGTTGTTTAACGTCGCACTCAGCAATATTCCAGCTTTATGACGGCGGTCTATACAGAATCAAGTCTGGGACAGACAATATAGTGAGTGATACCATGAGCATCGATCCACGCATTTTTGGTACGATGACATGCATCAACCAAGTCAGCAAGCCTGACCACTCAATCCCGTTAGTCACCTCTTACAAGCATGGGTTGCTGAAAATCTATCCTAACCCAGAATCTTCACGGGACTATTACAGTTATAATTTAGGTTGACTCTTGATAATCCGTAACATGGTTGCAACACACCATCCATGTTTGTTTGTTGTTTAACGCCGCACTCAGCAAAATTCCACCGGTAGGAAGGCTGTCTGCACATAAACCAGTCTGGTCTAGGCAATCCAGTGATTATGAGCATCAATCTACGCAATTGGGATAGGATGACATACATCAACCAAGTCAGCGAGCCTGAAAATTCAGGTTTTCTCTCGTTATTTCAATTATATTTTCGTAATTTCAATTCATATCTCGCTATTTCGATTATTTTCCCGTTGCTTTGATGTTTTTCTTGTTATTTCGATTTTATTCTCGTTATTCAATTATTAAGGAGAAATTTCGAATGAAAAATATGGATATTCTGCCAAAGTGGCATATCTTTAGGCTTTCGTAAACACAATCATGTGAACGTTGTGCGTGGATTGTGTTCTCAACACTGGGGCTTGTCACGCAAACATTAGCAGCAAGAGCACTGACGGGGTTATTGGGTGGTCAGGTTCGCTGATTTGGTTGATGCATATCATCATATCCTAATTGCGTCTATCGATGCTCATGATGTCAATCACTGGATTGTCTGGTCCATGCTCGATTATTTACAGACCGCCGTCACATAGCTGGAAAACACATATTGCTGAGTGCGGCGCTAATCAACAAACAAACAAACATAGTATAATAGTACTGACCCGTAACTGACCGAATATATCTTGCTGCTAAAGTTTGCCTAACAAGCCCCTATGGCACGACACGTACTGGGTCTCCTAGCACACTTACCTTGCGCAGAGATGGAGGTTATTAAATTACCTGATTGTGTAAATTTAAGTCTAATACTGCCTAAAATGTGAACGACATAGATATATATCAAATAAATTGGTATATTTATTTGGCCAGTGTATACAACAAATAGACGAGTTGATCTCTCAACTATGAGCAACTGCAACAGTGTAAAATCTTAAGTTTACTTTGTTTACATATAGAACCAGTGCAGTTTTCCTAGCACAGCCTTCGTGTCACACCAAATGTATTTCAGCTAGACACTTTGTATTGGTGACAAAGACCATTTGTCATTTCATTCTAAAATGTATGAGGAATTCAGGGATGCATGTATCGTAGCTGAGTTTAACTTATACGCGATGTAAGGGGTATCTTATGACCGGCACACTATCCAATTTGGCGGAAAGTTCACATAATATTGGCGGTCGCGTTTGCGTAATTTCTAAAACATTCTGAACGATTCAAAGGTTATAGGCGTCGTTTCAGAATGATCTTTGGAGATTTGATGAAATCCCGATACCCGTGATCCCTCATATGCTATTTTTGAAGTTCATTCCTCCGAGTAAATACATCCGATATCCGATATTTAGGCTTAAAAACATACATTAAATAAACGCGCCTCTATTTATCTCAAAAATGGAGAGATTTACGATGTACCTAATTTTCAGGGGTCATTTTCAGTAATCTTGCAGTGTCTAAAATGACAGTGGATGATATCGCAGAAAAGGGGGTTTCCCACACATTCAAATCCTTAAAGTGTATTTGTCTGCGCTGGTTGGTTGGTTCGTTTGTTGTTTAACGCCGCACTCAGCAATATTGTAGTAGATAAAGTTCAGATAGGTGAGTGAATATAGTTTAGATGAATGAGTAAATGTAGTTTTGATGAGTAAGTGAATATAGTTTAGATGAGTGAGTGAATATAGTTTAGATGAGTGAGTGAATATAGTTTAGATGAATGAGTAAATGTAGTTTTGATGAGTAAGTGAATATAGTTTAGATGAGTGAGTGAATATAGTTTAGATGAGTGAGTAAATGTAGTTTTGAAGAGTGAGTGAATATAGTATAGATGAGTGAGTAAATGTAGTGTTGATGAGTGGGTGAATTTAGTTTAGATGAGTGAGTAAAAGTAGTTGAAATGAGTGAGTAAATGTAGTTTAGATAAGTGAGTGAATATAGTTTAGATGAGTGAGTGAATATAGTTTAGATGAGTGAGTAAATGTAGTTTAGATGAGCGAGTGAATATAGTTTAGATGAGTGAGTGAATATAGTATAGATGAGTGAGTAAATGTAGTGTTGATGAGTGAGTGAATTTAGTTTAGATGAGTGAGTGAATATAGTTTAGATGAGTGAGTGAATATAGTTTAGATGAGTGAGTGAATATAGTTTAGATAAGTGAGTAAATGTAGTTGAAATGAGTGAGTAGATACAGTTCAGATGAGTGAGTGAATATAGTTGAGATGAATGAGTAAATGTAGTTTTGATGAGTAAGTGAATGTAGTTTAGATGAGTGAGTGAATATAGTTTAGATGAGTGAGTGAATATAATTCAGATGAGTAAGTGAATATAGTTTGATGATTGAGTGAATATAGTTTAGATGAATGAGTAAATATAATTTAGATGAGTGAGTGAATATAGTTTAGATGAATGAGTAAATGTAGTTTTGATGAGTAAGTGAATATAGTTTGATGAGTGAGTGAATATAGTTTAGATGAATGAGTAAATATAGTTTAGATGAGTGAGTGAATATAGTTTAGATGAATGAGTAAATGTAGTTTGGATGAGTAAGTGAATATAGTTCAGATAAGTGAGTGAATATAGTTTAGATGAGTGAGTGAATATAGTTTAGATGAGTGATTGAATATAGTTTACATGAGTGAGTAAATGCAATTTTGATGAGTGAGTAAATGTAGTTAAGATAAGTGAGTGAATATAGTTTAGATGAATGAGTAAATGTAGTTTTGATGAGTGAGTAAATGTAGTTTTGATGAGCAAGTGAATATGGTTCAGATGAGTGAGTAAATGTAGTTTTGATGAGTAAGTGAATATAGTTCAGATGAGTGAGTGAATAGAGTTTAGTGAGTGAGTGAGTTAAAGCTTTACGTCAAATCAGCAATATTTCAGCAATATAGTGACGAGAACATTTATAAGACTGAAATTAAAATAAAACACCCGTCATCGATGGACAGTAGAACAACTAGCATATCACAGTTTATAAGAAAAACTAGTTTAGAACAATTAAAATAATAACCTAGGATTCAACAATACATAATAAAAAAACTGGCTAGAGATCGCCAGCAACCAAAGTTAGGCCACCTAACTGGGGCCCGTGGGGACTTACAATACTTCTGCTACCTGCACGGCTCCCCAGCAGGATTTACAACATCCCCTAAGCTGCTGGCGATGGTATGCAATTGAGCCAGAATTAAAACAAAACAAATATACTACGTTTAAAAACAGTGGTATAAATAAACGTACTTTCAGGACGGGGTCTCACATATCCTCTCAGGGGGACAATAATTTTACATTACTTCAACCCCCTTTGAGGATACATCTCTAACCATCGAAGTTACTCATTAAACACTACCAATATTATAAAATCTACACAATCAAAATTTATCAATAAGTGCTATTTCTTTTAAAAATCCAACAATTAAATGACAACTGATACTATTCAAAAGATCCTTAAGAGATGATGATTTGCAATAGTTATCCCTTGTGATGGCAAAATCAATACAGTCAAGCGGGACATGCTTGACCGTGATTCTCTCATCACAAGGGATGCAAAATGGAGGATCCTCACCTTTTAAAATATATTCATGTGTATATCTGCTATGGCCAATACGACATCGTCGCATTATGACCTCTTCAAATCTGAACTGACAACCCAAGTAGGTGTAATCGATGGTTGGCTTAATTTGATGTAATTTATTGATACCAACTTGGGTGTCCAAATTATTTTGCATAAGATCTCGGATGTAACATCTGATCACAGGTTTACAATCACTGTATGGAATGAGAAGTGGTGTCACAGATTTGTTGAGTGCTGCTTTTGCTGCAGCATCAGCCATTGTGTTGCCTTTTGTGCCCACATGACTGGGCAACCAACAAAAGACGATGTCGTATTGGCCAGTTGAAAGATTATTATAAAGTTCTAAAGTATCTAAAATAATTGGATGATTAGAAGATACTTTTTTCAGTGCCTGAAGACAAGTCAAAGAATCAGAAAAGATGATAAATTGTTTATATGCAGACTGTCATTGAATGTATTTTAAGGCTGTAAGAATAGCATTGGCCTCAGCAGTGAAAATAGAGCTAGTGTCTGGTATTCTAGATGAGATATGTTTTGATCCAACGACAGTGGCACATGCCACCTTGCCACCGTCCTTGGATCCATCAGTAAAGATTGAACGGTGGGTGTCATATTGATTTCTTAATTGTACATATTCCTGTTGATATATAAGTTGATTTGTGTCAGATTTAATAAAACGGGTTAGAGAAACGTCTACTTCTGGCCTCACCAGCTGCCAGGGAGGAGTAGACAAGAGACGATATGGTGAGATAATATCTAAATCTATATTTGCAGCAATAATATGTGATTTCATCCGAATTCCAAGTGGTGGAATCAGCTTTTTTTTTTCTGAAACCGCTCTTCATATAGGGGTTGAAAAACAGAGTCATAAGCAGGATTAGAAGGATTAGAGTGTAATTTAGTGATATATTGAAGAGACAATTTAACACGGCGTTGTTTCAAAGAAGGTTCATCAGCCTCTACAAAGAGGCTGTCAACAGGAGAAGTTCTAAAAGCACCAAGGCACAGTCTGAGTCCTTGGTGGTGGATTGAATCTAGCTTTTTTAAATTACTCTTGCAAGCTCCAGCATACACAATGAAGCCATAGTCTAATTTAGAGCGGATTAATGATCTATAAAGGTGAAGGAGGGTTGTCTGATCCCCTCCCCACTTAGAATTCGAGACGACTTTTAACAGATCGAGGGCCTTCAGGCATTTAGTCTTTAAATATTTGATATGTGGCAAAAACGTCAAATGGTGGACGAAAATTAATCCCAAAAATTTGGCTTCTTTAACAACCTTAATTGGAGTGCCATCTAAAGAGAGTTTTGGATCTTTATCGGGTTTATATTTCTGACAGAAATGTATACAATTTGTTTTGGTCTGTGAAAACCTAAATCCATTCTCAAGACACCATTTATGAATTTTATTAAGACACAACTGTAACTGTCTTTCAATGGTATGCATATTTTTACCACAACATGATATTAAAATCATCCACAAACAATGACCCATCTATTGAGTCATTTAATACTTAGATAAACTATTTATTTTGATGCTAAACAATGTGACAGACAAAATACTGCCCTGAGGAACCCCCTGATCCTGATTATAATGATCAGACAGGGTTGATCCAACACAAACTTGAAATTGTCTGTCAGTTAAAAACTGTGATACAAATTGAGGCAAGCGGCCTCTTAAACCAAAGTCATGTAAATCTTTTAAAATACCATGCTTCCAAGTGGTAGCATAAGCTTTTTCAAGATCGAAAACGATAGATACAGCATGTTGTTTGTTTATAAAAGCATTTTTAATAAATGATTCTAAACGAACCAAATGATCAATTGTACTTCGGTTTTTACGAAATCCGCACTGGATATCACTGATTAAATTGTTGGTTTCTAAAAACCAAACTAAGCGATTATTCACCATGCACTCCATGGTTTTACAAACACAGCTAGTTAATGAAATAGGTCGGTAATTGGATGGATCTGTATGATCCCTGCCAGGCTTTGGTATTGGTACAACGATGGCATTTCTCCACGAAGGAGGAAAATGTCCTGTTGTCCAAATATCATAGAAAATATTCAATAGTGTTGTGAGACAAGGCAAGTGTTTTAGAAGCTGATAATGGATATCATCAGCACCAGTTGCAGTATCATGAGCTTGTGCTAAAGCAGTGTGTAGCTCATGTAGTGAAAATACTTCGTTATAATCTTCGCCATTGTCAGAAATAAAATTGACTTTTTTCCGTTCTTGTTGTTGTTGATACTTCTGAAACTTTGGATTATAATTTGACGAAGAAGAATGTTTGGCTAAAGTTTCGCCCAGTTTGTTTGCAATATCTGATTTTTCTGTCAATAAATTATTGTCATCTTTGAGATGATGAATACTTGATTTGGAACCTTTGCCTTTGATTTTTTGGATCATGTTCCACACCTTTGACATAGGCGTGCGAAAATTTATTTTGGAAACATAATCCTTCCAGGTCTGTCGTTTATTGAGTTTAAAAGTTCGTCGAGCCTTGGCATAATTAATTCTTACATTAGAATATAGTTTAGATGAGTGAGTAAATGTAGTTCAGATGAGTGAGTGAATATAGTTTAGATGAGTGAGTGAATATAGTTCAGATGAGTGAGTGAATATAGTTTAGATGAGTAAGCGAATATAGATTAGATGAGTGAGTTATATAGTTTAGATGAGTAAGTGAATATAGTTTAGATGAGTGAGTGAATATAGTTCAGATGAGTGACTGAATATATTTCAGATGAGTGAGCGAATACAGTTTGAATGAGTGAATATAGTTTTAGTGACTGAGCGAATATAGATCAGGTGAGTGAAAGAATTTTGTGAGTAAGCTTTTGGTGTGAGAGTGAATATTGTTTGAGTGAGTGTTTCAGTACATACTTACACTACAGTATTTCAGTTATACCACTGGGGTAAATCAACTGGTTGCTGTAAAGGGGCGCACCTGTGCAGAGCGTATAAGCGTGCATTTAACAAATAGTCGTTAAACCATGCGGTATTTTTCCCTCTACTAGCTGGATCACATGTCAGTCTGTGTGTATTGGTCGGGGACTTCGATCTGTTCAGATTACTTGCTCACCTAATGTTTACGTCAGCGTTATCTACTGGGTCGAGGTGTGCCTTGCTACAGAGCAGTGCGCAGGACGTGGGAGGGGTGGACATATTGGTGAAGAGAAGGGAGTCAAAACGTGAGTGTATTTTCAGGTAAGAACTGTTTTGCTTTCATTGGGGATGCAAAAGGCGAACATACGTACGTTCAATAGCAATACAATACTAGAATCGCGTGACAGTACAACAGCATCTAACACAGCAAAGTCACATACGTTCAGTAGCAATACAATACTAGAGTCGCGTGACAGTACAACAACATCTAACAGAGTCGCGTGACAGTACAACAACATCTAACACAGAAGCCACGTACGTGCAATAACAATACAACACTAGAGTCGCCTATCAGTAAAACAGCATCTAACACAGCAAAGTCACATACTTTCAATAGCAATACAATACCAGAGTCGCGTGACAGTACAACAGCATCTAACACAGAAGCCACGTACGTGCAATAACAATACAACACTAGAGTCGCTTATGAGTACAACAGTATCTAACAAAGCAAAGTCACATACTTTCAATAGCAATACAATACCAGAGTCGCGTGACAGTACAACAGCATCTAACACAGAAGCTACGTACGTGCAATAACAATACAACACTAGAGTCGCCTATCAGTACAACAGCATCTAACACAGCAAAGTCACATACGATCAACAGCAGTACAATACTAGAGTCGCCTGTCAGTGCAACAGCATCTAACACAGCAAAGTCACATACGATCAACAGCAATACAATATTAGAGTCGCCTATCAGTACAACAGCATCTAACCCAGCAAAGTCACATACGTTCAATAGCAATACAATACTAGAGCCGCCTGTCAGTGCAACAGCATCTAACCCAGCAAAGTCACATACGTTCAACAGCAATACAATACTAGAGTCGCCTTTCAGTACAACAGCATCTAACACAGCAAAGTCACATACGTTCAACAGCAATACAATACTAGAGTCGCCTATCAGTACAACAGCATATAATACAGCAAAGTTACATACGTTCAACAGCAATACAATACCAGAGTCGCGTGACAGTAAAACAGGATCTAACACAGACGTCGCATACGTTCATTAAGAAATAAACGACGAGTGGCTGTTGTTTATTTTTTAAATAACAAACTGCAGGGAGATAACACAATGAGGTTTGCAGCCCCGAGTAATTTATTCTCCATGCAGTGTGTTGTTTGTAAGATAGACATATTTGTTATATTAACCTTACGTACAGCCTCTCAAGTGTGTTTAAAATTTCTCTTAATTTTAATAATGATGACTCCATGAATAGTATTCGACAAGTCAGTTTAATGAACAGATGGGTTAATTTTGGCATTTTCCCCATATTCTCAAAATCCTCACGTTGATTATCTGTACTTTTTTTCCGAATGTCGATTGTCTTATATCTCCCACTTTTGGATGCGATTGTTCGACCAGTGCGTTTGTCCACGTTGCCCAACTACATCTCCGGCTAACAATTCACAAGACACTTCAGTCTAGAACAATGGTACATAGAACAATGCTTTATCGTGGAATAACCCACGCTTCGTTCTTCCCCACTCTTTGTGATTTATCGCTTAGCTATCTTCTATATAGCAATCCAATACTAGAGCCGCATGTTAGTATTAAATTATATTTAATGTGATTTTATAATCACATTGATGTTGAACTCATTTGGTTCAACAATAAGTACGACATGCACGAACGTCTTACTCGCATGTTTTATAGCCGCTGTGATCTACTTTATTCAACATGCTTTGGAATATACACAAAAAGAACCACACAGCGATAACCTTCTGCGCCGCTTTGACATGGCCATACGTGTAATCTGTAGATCAGGTTTCAACCTAAATAAACAATACCACCCGTGATACGAGTGTCACTGAGGTCATGTTGACCCGATGTCTTATCAGTTGTTACAAGTGCACTCCACAGAGTAGGTAGACAATGTGTATATGCGTATTAAGAGCGTCCACAAATGAAGTCAGGAAGCATGTATCGAAAAGGCAGTAGTTTGTGCTGTTTTGTAGAACAAGGGGATCAAAGGGGCGTACTTATTTTAGTAATTTGCACTTTCCAGTGATAGGTATTGCAGCCTTCTAGTTTTACCCACTTCTACTATGAAAGTTTCCAAAGTTCTGAATACTTCTGAGACAATAGTGTCATGTGGCATTTGGTCTAACTATGCACTTAAACAGGTTTATGAAATAGTAAATGCTGCAAAATGGATTTTAAATTTCATTTAATTTTTTTTTTTGCTGCATAGATTGTTAACAAAAACCTATGTAGTCGAAATAGCGTTGATAGAATATCAACACATAAAATGAATGATAACGGAAATTAATTAACTAGAAAATTCTTCTTCAAACGTCTTCTCTATGCATGGATCTATAATGAGGCGGCTTCACTGGTCTCCTTTATTTCAATCAGTGGAATGAAACTGGCTGTAACGATGCCCTGAGTGAGAACACATGAACTCAGACAACCATAAAACCAACACGATCTGATGAGGTGTGTTAAATGTTTAGTAATTGCACTTAATAATCTTAATATGTGTTAAAAAATATACGAAACACAAACCACTTGGGTGTGTGACAATGTAGTAACTAGGTGACTGGAGAGGGTAGGTCCCCACTATCTGATCAACAACCGGGGAATAGGGACTGCACAATGGGTTGTCGGAGTATAATGTATATTGTAAACAGTGTCCAAGCACACAACCTTACTCAATCTACTGACACATTGTTTCCTTGTATGACAACATAGAGACCTACAGACAAAGTGCATATATAACCAAGCTATACACAAGGCAGTTCGACTGACGCAATGGCAATATGAATGTCTTACTGCTGTCTACCCGATATGAACTTATGTCTGACCCACACATAACGCCTCGATAACGTAATGGAGGAATCATGGAAATATGTTGATTCTGGAATCAACAGATTCGAGTGGTTTCTCTTATTGTAATCATGACATGGTTGATTTACAATCTCTTAATAAGTTTTCACAATGACCTATAGTTCATTCAGCCTCACTTGCTCAACATGCTGTTCAGAATGGCCAGTGAATTCCTGGCTCAAAATCAACCACAACAATAATTATGTGACGTCGTCATAATTGTTTAATGTTATTCATTTGACAGAAAGGATTTGCTATATGCTGTGATGTTTGGATCGTTGCTGGTCATAGTATGTAAGTGACTTTTGTATATCGATAGGTACAGATACAAAAATGTCTACCCGTGCAGCCAACTAAATATAGATTATATGAAAAAGGGATTCCTCTTGACGAGGTCAATATGCAGAAACACGGACCTCAGGCCCGACCCCTTCCGTGGTTTGACCGAACTTCGGCCTGTCCAAGGTCCTTGTTTTTGTATATTGGCCTCGTCATGCGTAATCACTTGTATAATATATACAGTGGCAGTAAGAAGTAACAATGAGAACAGAGTTAACATGGATTTCAGCTTCATTTTGCTTTCAATGCAACGCCTCGATACAGGTATCTTTATCAAGCAAGTGAACAACAGCTTCAAACACGTCGGCAATCAGGTAGACATGTTTCTCATTTAACTTCTGTTTTCAGTTTCTGCAGTACAGGGTGTCCCGGTGTGCGAGTGGGGCAAGTATGGACACAACTGTGACCGACTATGTTCAGATCACTGTGGACTTTACCTTGACACAAAGCTTCGACCCTGTGACAAAGATACTGGGACGTGTTCAGAAGGGTGTGTTCGCGGTCGGCATGGTGACCACTGTGATCAACTTTGTAGTCAGAACTGCATCAGCACCACATGCAACCAAGGCAACGGGGCGTGTACCCTCGGATGTATAGATGGATACATTGGATATTTCTGTAACATAACAACAGGTGCACAGATGCAGACAACAGGTACACAGATACATTTATTAATCATATAATGGGCAGGTTTGTCGGTAGGATAAAGCCAAGGGATAAGAACGATTCCATAGGGGTTATATGTGGATAGAGATGCAAATATCAAAGGTCAAATGTGGACTACTTTCAGTGTTTACAAACAAACATGGCTTCGCCCCTGCAACTCGGCGATCAAGTCAGAATTAACCAACGGGAATCTGGAGAAACTACAGGGATAATTGCTATCATCAAAAGAATATATATATATATACTGAAAATTATTGTCTAACTGTGAGGTAGTTAAGGCATTTTACATGTTGTGGCAACATTGGCGACGTAAATTGCAAAACTATTTTGCAAGGTCACCAGCCAAGCGGGATGAGTTTTCATCTGTGCTTGATGACCTCTGCGGCTTGGAACTTTTTCCTCAAATTACAACTGTTAGATTTGGCCGCAATATGTTCGAATTGTTAATTTGTCTCGTCGCTGTGTGTACATCTGACTGCACTTCGTAATGTTATGACAGGACAGACTGTCAACAACGTCTGACTGTGACCGTGACGTTTCATAGACTAGAGGAAGAGTAGTTTCCCTTGATAAAGGGCAGTTACTCTATCGGACAGATGGATTGCCGGGAAAGTCAAGTAAAAGAATTTGTGTTGGCAATTGTTGTTTCGCACATATGTTGTTACTCCACTGTATCAGAACGAGGTTTCAGTGGGAACTGTGTTTGCTACTGTCACTGTCGGACTGACACATCACTTACCCTCTGACGTTGTATATACTATTGCGCACATTCCAGGAAAACATGCAATGTTTAGGTAATGTTTGTGAGAGATGGAAAGAGATTTTCGAGCGCAGTACTCTAGCATGACATTATATGATAAAGAGAGGTTATCACGCTTGTGCTTGGTGATGGTAAATATCCTGTATTAGGAATAGACATTATGTAAATCTTGAAATTAACGCAAGCGTGAATTAAATGCGTAAAATGCGAGAGATCTTTGTTCGCATTAATGAAACTTCGCATTGATGTCTCCAAAATGACTATAGGCAATAAGACGGCCTCATTGCACACTTTGGATAGCGGAAATACCAACTTGAATATATCCTGTCACACAGGTGTCATCCGTCAAACACAAATGCAAAGGCAAGGCAATTGTTCATGGGACATATGATACAGTCGGGAATCACGGACATCATATTGGTCACGTCCACTTCACTATTTCAGGTATACATCGTACTTATTGGACACAGAATCATGCCCTATTCTTTTGGATTGAAATTTAGCTTTTAGATGACAAATCATAATTTTACGACAATTAGACAACATATACAAAAGACTTTGAATAGCGGAAATACCAACTTGAATATATACACAAACACGGTTTATTGAGCAGCAGTAGTAACAAGTACATAATATTGCCATTTAAAGAATAGGAGTTACACAATGGCCTTCCGGTGAGTTATCACTGCTAGGCTCAAGAGTTCTACCCACTTGTGTCAAACTAGGCATCATTGACCGCTCCAGTCAGTGAACTGTTGTTGATTCAATAATTGTATTGCCTTTGACTTTCCTTAAGGCCAGCCAACAGAATAAACATATGAACTGTGTGTTTGATTTTTAGGAAAACTCTGTTTATAGTTAATACGGAAGTTCTTTATGCACTGCTAATAAGCGATGATATATGCTTTTTGATTAGGGATCGGGGGAGTCGCATTGTTAGCCAAGGGTCAGCAGTCGTAATTATTTGGAGATGCATTAATTTCAAGGTTGACCGTATTTAGCTCGTCAAGGCTCACAAAATACAAAGTTTATTCTTAAAACTGGATATTTACCATCCCAAAACACACAAGCGTGATAACCTCTATAAACACAGAATCTGATAAGTTATGTGTAAGAGTTGAGTCAGATCATAGGCACTTAGTATAGATGTTGATAAGATGGAACACAGTAGATTGGCAGGTGCTAGTGTCATAGGACTATTCAACTATTGCAGATTTTTACAGTTTTGAAAATGCTTTGTTAAATATTTAGGTTTACCAATTTTCCCGTTGTTGAATGCATGGTCTATTGAAGTTGCGTGTTGTAACGTGATTAGCTGTGTATAAATCCACAACTGTATCAGATTTATTTTCTGTAACAATAACAAAAGTGTATCATTCAAAGGCAATTAAATAATTGAATCAACAATAGTTCACTTATCAGCCTGGTCTAGTTTGACACAAGTGGGTAGAACTCTTGACCCTAGCAGTGATAACTCACCGGATGGCCATTGTGTAACTCCTATTCTTTAAATGACATTCTTATGTACTTTTTACTACTGCTGCTCAATAAACCGTGTTTGTGTATATATTCAAGTTGGTATTTCCGCTATTCAAAGTCTTTTGTATATGATGTCTAATCTTCGTAAAATTATGATTTGTCATCTAAAAGCTAAATTTCAATCCAAAAAAATAGGACATGATTCTGTGTCCAATAAGTACGATGTATACCTGAAATAGTGAAGTGGACGTGACCAATATGATGTCCGATGCAATTCCCGACTGTATCATATGTCCCATGAACAATGACATGCCTTTGCATTTGTGTTTGATGGATAACACCTGTCTGACAGGATAAGCTCACCTTTTCCCGATTATCTGGTGTCATCAATATTAGATAGTGATTCATGAACAGATGCTCATCATATAGTCGGAATCGGATAAATGAATTATACTGCAGGATTGCATTAAATGAGATGTGTGCAAGGGATATGTTTTTGTTTTTTTGTTGTTTTTTTTGTGTTTTACGACGCACTCAGCAATATTCCAGCTATATGACGGCAGTCTCTAAATGATCGAGTCTGGACCAGACAATCCAGTGATTGACATCATGTGCATCAATCCACGCAATTGGGACCAATGTCATGCATCTACCAAGTCAGCGAGCCGGACCACCCGATCCTGTTAGTCGCCTTTTACGACAAGCATAGTCGCCTTTTACGGCAAGCATGGGTTGCTGAAGACCTATTCTACCCCGGAATCTTCACTGGTCGGATATGTAATTACATGTATATACAGACGTTTTGTCTGATAGTGTTGTCACTAGCTGTGTCTGTGTTGCAATGACCACTACCTACAGACCATGTGACTGGGGGAGGATGTGTGCAGGGACATGTGATGCCATGTATATACAGACGTTTTGTCTGATAGTGTTCTCACAAGCTGTGTCTGTATTGCAGTGTCCACTACTTACAGACCATGTGACTGGGGCAGGATGTGTGCAGGGATATGTACTTACATGTATATACAGACGTTTTGTCTGATAGTGTTCTCACAAGCTGTGTCTGTATTGCAGTGTCCACTACTTACAGACCATATGACTGGGGCAGGATGTGTGCAGGGATATGTACTTACATGTATATACAGACGTTTTGTCTGATAGTATTCTCACTAGCTGTGTCTGTGTTGCAGTGTCCACTACCTACAGACCATGTGACTGGGGCAGGATGTGTGCAGGGATATGTACTTACATGTATATACAGACGTTTTGTCTGATAGTGTTCTCACAAGCTGTGTCTGTGTTGCAGTGTCCACTACCTACAGACCATGTGCCTGGGGCAGGATGTGTGCAGGGATATGTACTTACATGTATATACAGACGTTTTGTTTGATAGTGTTCTCACCAGCTATGTCTGTGTTGCCGTGACCACTGCCTACAGGCCATGTGACTGGGGCAGGTTGTGTGCAGGGATATGTAATGACATGTATATACGGACGTTTTGTCTGATAGTGTTCTCACCAGCTAGCTGTGTCTGTGTTGCAGTGACCACTACCTACAGACCATGTGACTGGGACAGGTTGTGTGCAGGGATATGTAATGACATGTATATACAGACGTTTTGTCTGATAGTGTTCTCACAAGCTGTGTCTGTGTTGCAGTGACCACTACCTACAGACCATGTGACTGGGGCAGATTTGGGGAAACATGCGATCAAGCCTGTCCTCCAGGCTGTGCCCTGGGTTCCGACAGAAACACCAACTACTGTCAGACTGACACTGGAACGTGCACTCGGGGATGTCGGCGTGGTTGGCATGGCGACCGATGTGAGAAGCTGTGTGGCGGGAACTGTATTGCGGACTCCTGTCATCAAGGAAGTGGACATTGTACCCATGGCTGCAGAAGGAGATATACAGGAGAGTTCTGTGAAGCAGAAACGGGTAAATAGGTGGAACCCAATCACGGAACCATCCTGCTGAGTCACCGCAGCTTGAGAAGCGTCAAGTAGTGTTAGGCTCTCGAGGCCAGATAATGAATAAAATAATACTTGTTCAACTGGACAAAAGAAGATTAAAATTTCAACATAGTAAAAACCGTATGTTTCAAAAACATAATCTGATCAATGTATTCCATTGAAAGTTTACCTTAAATACCTTATATTTATTCTACTTAACCCCATAGAGTTTTCTGTTTCAGGTGAGGGGCACAAAAGACAGACTCATTAGTGATATTGTGGTTGTGTGTTGTAGGTGAAGGATACATTAGACACATTAATTTATCACATTGTGTTTGTTACAGGTGAGGGGCACATTATACTCAGTGTGCATGTGATGTGGATGTTACTGGTGATCTTTATCCTTTCAACAATTTGTTGCTGGAGGAGGTGAGTTTACTTCGTGTGGGTCGGGTTCTAACCTCACACTACATCACCATCTAGATTATGATCAACTCATTTTGTTCAGCGTAACTTTGACATATTTTACATGGGTAAAATGTTGTACTAGAATCTGCAAGTTTTCAGTTGTACGAACACACGAATGTTACTCTATATTTTCTATGATGCCATCCTTATCAGTAATGACAATTGTATCCGGTCGTTCACTGATGACAATTTTAATTCAGCACAAGACATGGTTTTCTGGAAAATGTGAATATGTATTTGAAAAGTGGTTAGTGTTTACGAGGAAATGTCAAGCAGGTGCCCTGTGTTTTATCAAGCACATCTCTTTGCAGTCCACGATGTAGAAGAACGTTTGACAAAGGGTTTACGTGGCTGATAAGAAGGTAATTCTCATGAAGACCTGTTCTTTAAAGCATGCGGTAGTATCTTCTCTAAATGATTGTTGGTAGTGTTGCTGAAGAGGTGGTGAGTAAGTTTGGTTTATAGTAGTTCAGACATATCACGGCGTGTCGGCTTGATGTGGGAGTAAAGCCAAAAGTGATGAAGGTCACAGACGTTTACTACTTTGTGACACCCACGGACATGGTCATGGTCCTGACAAACCTAGACACATAACCAGGGCGATATGGGATTATACGATCTTAGGTTTTAACCAAGCCTGAGGGACACTACTTAAGTGACACCCACGGACATGGTTATGGTGCTGACAAACCTAGACACATAACCAGGGCGATATGGGATTATACGATCTTAGGTTTTAACCAAGCCTGAGGGACACTACTTAAGTGACACCTACGGACTTGGTTATGGTGCTGACAAACCTAGACACATAACCAGGGCGATATGGGATTATACGATCTTAGGTTTTCGCCATGCCTGAGGGACACTACTTAAGTGACACCCACGGACTTGGTTATGGTGCTGACAAACCTTGACACATAACCAGGGCGATATGGGATTATACGATCTTAGGTTTTCGCCATGCCTGAGGGACACTACTTAAGTGACACCTACGGACTTGGTTATGGTGCTGACAAACCTAGACACATAACCAGGGCGATATGGGATTATACGATCTTAGGTTTTCGCCATGCCTGAGGGACACTACTTAAGTGACACCCACGAACATGGTTATGGTGCTGACAAACCTAGACACATAACCAGGGCGATATGGGATTATACGATCTTAGGTTTTAACCATACCTGAGGGACACTACTTAAGTGACACCCACGGACATGGTTATGGTGCTGACAAACCTAGACACATAATCAGGGTGATATGGGATTATACGATCTTAGGTTTTCGCCATGCCTGAGGGACACTACTTAAGTGACACCCACGGACTTGGTTATGGTGCTGACAAACCTTGACACATAACCAGGGCGATATGGGATTATACGATCTTAGGTTTTAACCATGCCTGAGGGACACTACTTAAGTGACACCCACGGACTTGGTTATGGTGCTGACAAACCTAGACACATAACCAGGGCGATATGGGATTATACGATCTTAGGTTTTCGCCATGCCTGAGGGACACTACTTAAGTGACACCCACGGACTTGGTTATGGTGCTGACAAACCTTGACACATAACCAGGGCGATATGGGATTATACGATCTTAGGTTTTCGCCATGCCTGAGGGACACTACTTAAGTGACACCTACGGACTTGGTTATGGTGCTGACAAACCTAGACACATAACCAGGGCGATATGGGATTATACGATCTTAGGTTTTAACCAAGCCTGAGGGACACTACTTAAGTGACACCCACGGACATGGTTATGGTGCTGACAAACCTAGACACATAACCAGGGCGATATGGGATTATACGATCTTAGGTTTTCGCCATGCCTGAGGGACACTACTTAAGTGACACCTACGGACTTGGTTATGGTGCTGACAAACCTTGACACATAACCAGGGCGATATGGGATTATACGATCTTAGGTTTTCGCCATGCCTGAGGGACACTACTTAAGTGACACCTACGGACTTGGTTATGGTGCTGACAAACCTAGACACATAACCAGGGCGATATGGGATTATACGATCTTAGGTTTTAACCATGCCTGAGGGACACTACTTAAGTGACACCCACGGACATGGTTATGGTGCTGACAAACCTAGACACATAACCAGGGCGATATGGGATTATACGATCTTAGGTTTTCGCCATGCCTGAGGGACACTACTTAAGTGACACCCACGGACATGGTTATGGTGCTGACAAACCTAGACACATAACCAGGGCGATATGGGATTATACGATCTTAGGTTTTCGCCATGCCTGAGGGACACTACTTAAGTGACACCCACGGACTTGGTTATGGTGCTGACAAACCTAGACACATAACCAGGGCGATATGGGATTATACGATCTTAGGTTTTAACCATGCCTGAGGGACACTACTTAAGTGACACCCACGGACTTGGTTATGGTGCTGACAAATCTTGACACATAATCAGGGTGATCTGTGATTCATACGATCCTAGGTTTTAACCAATGCCCGACGGACACTACTCAATTCAGCAGACCAAAGTGTAGTGTCTACGACGACTGACATAACCGTGTCCCCTAGTTACTGATAAACACTCCATAACTTTATTTAAATATTGCAGTTTTACTTACCCCCCATTTTTATTCTTTTTCAGGAATCCCAGTGCTTGTAAGTGCCATTTTAATTTTTCGAATATTACTTGAAGCATACTTTGACAATATACAAGCATGCATCTGGACATATTCATTTGGAAGCATAACCAAATGAACTGTTTGATTTGGGAATGTGGACGTTCTTGTTTCACAATATACGACTGCCTCTGCACTATAGCCAGAACCAGCATGTGGCGGCAATGTCAGGCTCCTTGTCTGGGAATCTAGCAAAGGGAATTCATTATGTCTCGGATTATTCGAGTTGATATTATCAACAATTCACACTGCTATCTCTGACTGCCACGTAATCCACCATTCACTCCAGCCATCCTCTAGGACAGTCACGTAAATTCAACACAACCAAACAACACATGGATGATAGTATGTCAACACAACCAAACAACACATGGATGATAGTATGTCAACACAACCAAACAACACATGGATGATAGTATGTCAACACAACCAAACAACACATGGATGATAGTATGTCAACACAACCAAACAACACATGGATGATAGTATGTCAACACAACCAAACAACACATGGATGATAGTATGTCAACACAACCAAACAACACATGGGTGATAGTATGTCAACACAACCAAACAACAAATGGATGATAGTATGTCAACACAACCAAACAACACATGGATGATAGTATGTCAACACAACCAAACAACACATGGATGATAGTATGTCAACACAACCAAACAACACATGGATGATAGTATGTCAACACAACCAAACAACACATGGATGATAGTATATCAACACAACCAAGAACACATGGATGATAGTATATCAAATTACGAGACTGCAAGACGCTGTTTCATCCTTCAGATAGGAATATGTTCGGAAGAACAATATACAGTTTCAAGAAACCTTCATATTCCGTAACTAATGCGTTGTCAGCAACTAATCATCAATGGAAGGTTATTATGGATGATCCTGTATCATAATTTTTGATGTCATGCAGAAAGCGAGATATCTTCGACATTAGACTTGTTGCTTTGAATTAAACTATATGACGTAGGTGCTGCCTCACAGCCTTCATGTCCCGCACTGCAGACAAGGACATTTAAAAGCGTCATATGAATATGGTGTGAACATTCATATCTCAAAAAAGTGTCAATGTATTTCATCGAAGATAACAGACACAAATTGTATAAAATAGATAATACAATGTGAAATATACTTGAATTGTGGGAGCATTTTTCCTGTTTTTATCTCGCTTGCATGTTTGCATTTGAAATACACTATTTCTGCCTGTTGACCTAATATGTAACTCACGTACATTATAGCCATGCTACCTGACGACAAAAAAAACTTTACCACTTTATAAATGAAATTGCAAAAAATTGGAAACACAAGTTCAAACTAATCGATGCAAAACACATCGTCCAAATACAACAATGCTCTATGCCGAAAGTGATACAAGTCCGATTTATTTAAAAAGTGCGAAAAAGTGAAAGAAACGTGCCGTTTGGGCAGCCGAAGCAAAGCGTGCAGTTAGAGTTTTAACGATACGGACGGAATGTCTGACACTGATAAAAGACAACAACACAGTAATGCCCCACCTGGCACCTTAACAACGGGGGCGGGCCCTGCGTATTATACAGAGCCACCCATGTCCACATTGCTGGAACGTTTGGTTGCTCCCGTGTTGCTGTAACGAACCTGATGCAACGTTACAGACAGACATCAGACAGGCTAAGAACAGGTAGACAATATACATTACCACCAAGGCAGGTACACCTATGTCTCCACTGCAGTAACACAGACAATATACATTACCACCAAGACAGGCACCCCTATGTCTCCACTGCAGTAACACAGACACCAGACATTAACACCAAGCCAGGCACACCTATGTCTCCACTGCAGTAACACAGACACCAGACATTAACACCAAGACAGGCACCCCTATGTCTCCACTGCAGTAACACAGGCAACATACTTTAACACCAAGACATGCACCCCTATGTCTCCACTGCAGTAACAAAGGCAACATACTTTAACACCAAGACATGCACCCCTATGTCTCCACTGCAGTAACACAGACAAACGACATCAACACCAAAACAGGCACCCCGATGTCTCTACTGCAGTAACACAGACAACATACTTTAACAACAAGACACGCACCCCTATGACTCCCACTGCAGTAACACAGACAACAGACTATAACAACAAGACATGCACCCTTATGTCTCCATTGCAGTAACACAGAAAACAGACATTAACACCAAGACAGGCACACCTATGTCTCCACGGCAGTAACACAGACAACAGACTTTAACACCAAGACAGGCACCCCTATGTCTGCACTGCAGTAAAACAGACAATATACATCAACACCAAGACAGGCACCCCTATGTCTCTACTGCAGTAACACATCACCATACTACAACACCAAGGCACGCACCCCTATGTCTTCACTGCAGTTACACAGACACAATTAATTTACACCAAGACAGGCACCCCTATGTCTCCACTGCAGTAACACAGACAATATACATCAACATCAAGACAGGCATCCCTATGTCTCCACTGCAGTAACACAGACAATATACATCAACATCAAGACAGGCACCCCTATGTCTCTATTGCAGTAACACATCACCATACTACAACACCAAGACACGCACCCCTATGTCTTCAGTGCAGTAACACAGACAACAGACTTCAACAACAAGACATGCATCCCTATGTCTCCACTGCAGTAACACAGACAACAGACATTAACACCAAGACAGGCACCCCTATGTCACCAATGCAGTAACACAGACAACAGACTATAACAACAAGTCATGCACCCCTATGTCTCCACTGCAGTAACACATACAATAGACTTCAACAACAAGATATGCACCCCTATGTCTCCATTGCAGTAACACAGACAAAATTCATTAACAACAAGACAGGCACCCCTATGTCTCCACTGCATTAACACAGACAAAATTCATTTACATCAAGACAGGCACCGCTATGACTCCACTGCAGTAACACAGACAAAATACATTTACATCAAGACAGGCACCGCTATGACTCCACTGCAGTAACAGCGACAACAGACATTAACGCCAAGACAGGTACCCCTATGTCTTCACTGCAGTAACACATACAACAGACTATAACACCAAGACAGGCACCCCTATGTCTCCGCTGCAGTAACCACGACAACAGAATTTAACACCAAGACATGAACCCCTATGTCTCCACTGCAGTAACACAGGCAATAGACATTAACACCAAGACAGGCACCCCTATATCTCCACTCTAGTAACACAGGCAACAGACTATAACAACAAGACAGGCACTCCTATGTCTCCACCGCAGTAACACAGACAGCATACTACAAAACCAAGACAGACACCCCTATGTCTCCACTGCAGTAACACAGACAGCATACTACAACACCAAGTCACGCACCCCTATGTCTCCACTGCAGTAACACAGACAACAGACTATAACAACAAGACATGCACCCCTATGTCTCCACTGCAGCAACACATACAACAGACTTTAACACCAAGACAGGCACCCCTATGTCTCCGCTGCAGTAACCACGACAACAGAATTTAACACCAAGACATGAACCCCTATGTCTCCACTGCAGTAACACAGACAACAGACATTAACACCAAGACAGGCACCCCTATATTTCCACTGTAGTAACACAGGCAACGGACTATAACAACAAGACAGGCACTCCTATGTCTCCACCGCAGTAACACAGACAGCAGACATTAACACCAAGTCACGCACCCCTATGTCTCCACTGCAGTAACACAGACAACAGACTATAACAACAAGACATGCACCCCTATGTCTCCACTGCAGCAACACATACAACAGACTTTAACACCAAGACAGGCACCCTATGTCTCCACTGCAGTAACACAGACAACATAATTTAACACTAAGACATGCACCCCTATGTCTCCACTGCAGTAACGCATACAACAGACTTTAACAGTAAGACAGGCACCCTTATGTCTCCACTGCAGTATCACAGACAACAGACTTTAACATCAAGAAAGGCCCTCCTATGTCTCAACTGCAGTAACACTGACACCAGGCTTTAACACCAAGACAGGCACCCCTATGTCGCCACTGCAGTAACACAGACAACAGACAATAACACCAAGACAGGCACTCCTATGTCTCCACTGTACTAACGCAGACAAAATACATTTACATCAAGACAGGCACCCCTATGTTTCCACGTCAGTAACACATACAACAGACTTTAACACCAAGACAGGCACCCCTATGTTTCCACTGCAGTAACACAGATAACAGACTTTAACAACAAGACAGGCACATCTATATCTCCACCGCAGTAACACAGATAATATACATCAACATCAAGCCAGGCACCCCCATGTCTCCACTGCAGTAATACAGACAATATACATCAACATCAAGACATGCACTCCTATGTCTCCACTGTACTAACGCAGACAAAATACATTTACATCAAGACAGGCACCCCTATGTTTCCACGTCAGTAACACATACAACAGACTTTAACACCAAGACAGGCACCCCTATGTTTCCACTGCAGTAACACAGATAACAGACTTTAACAACAAGACAGGGACATCTATATATCCACCGCAGTAACACAGATAATATACATCAACATCAAGCCAGGCACCCCCATGTCTCCACTGCAGTAACACAGATAATATACATCAACACCAAGGCATGCACCCCTATGTCTCCACTGCAGTAACACAGACAACATACTATAACACCAAGACAGGCACCCCTATGTCTCAACTGCAGTAACACATACAACAGACTTTAACACCAAGACATGCACCCGTATGGCTCCACTGCAGTAACAAAGACAACATACTATAACAACAAGACATACCCTCCTATGTCTCCACTGCAGTAACACATACAATATACTTTAACACCAAGGCATGCACACCTATGTCTCCACTGCAGTAACACAGACATCATACAATCACATCAAGACAGGCACCCCTATGTCTCCA